GGGGATCCTGGTGCCTCTACTACGCCCTCCGCGGATTATGTCAAGCCCGTTTACTTGAAAGGCCTGTTCAGTGTCCAGACGACTTCTACCAAACCTCCAATGGAGATTCGAAAAGAAATTATCAGGGTATTGGAACAGCTCGGTGTTTCCTACAAAGAAATCAAGGGTGGCTTTGTGTGTGTTCACAAGCCCAGTATCGACCTGAAGAGCGTTCAGGAGGGCGGAAACGCAGAAGCGGAAGTGACCAACATGGTTTCAACTTCACCATCGCACCGCCGAAAAATGTCGCAAGCGGGTATCAATGCTACCGCAAGTTCATCGAAGCAGTCTCGGCGGCAAAGAGCAGAGACCAGCTATACGAACAGCGACGCGTCGAACGACTCCGTAAATGACGGCGTTTTGGCGGATTCCTTGATTCTGCAGTTTGAAATGTACATCGTCAAGGTTCCTTTGCTTTCGCTGCATGGCGTCCAGTTCAAGAGCGTCAACAAGACCAATACTTGGCAATACAAGAGTTTAGCGAGCCGTATCTTGGCGGCGTTGAGGTTGTAGGAAGATCTTCGGGTCTGGAGTTTCTCTTTTCCTCTCGTTTCTGTTTTACGGATCCTTTAATTACTTGTTTGCGGATGTGTTGACGGCTGAACTTGAACTTGTGTCACGAACCTTTCTCAATACCCCTTTTGGCATGCAGCATACATTTCGGTGTTTTCAACATTTGGCTCGTTTGCTTTTTCAGATCCTTATACACGGGATTTTAGCTTGCTTTTCACGAGGAAATCAGATGCCTCTTTTTGCTCTTTGACTTTGCTTTTTTTTTTTTTTTTTTTTTTCTCTCTCTTTTTGGTTGTGTCAGCGGGTGTAACAGGTGTTGTCCGTTTTGAAACTACATGTTATGGGCATATCCGCCGCTCTTACTCTTGATTCCCCACACCATGAGCGGAATGTTGGACACGATATCTCACGAATGGCCGTCGGCTGGGCTGTTAAGTAGACGGTTTAGCTAGCAGGCGTGGCAGGGCAGTGCATCGATGGGCAGAGGTTTTCGGGTTGTGTTCCTTATGTGTTTATGTGTTGTGTTTTTTTAACCGTTCCGCCGCCACCTCCGCCAACTCATGTGCTCAAAATGTTCACGGAGTTTTTTGCCTCTTTTTCAGTGTTATTTTCGGCGGGTTGTTGCTCACTGGCTTTGTTTCTCTGTATCTATCCTTACAAATTGTGCGGGGCAAAGGAGAGGGGATAAGATGGCGGCGGGAGCAGATGAATGCGGTGTATAGGAGAGCCAAATAATAGTTTAATGTGAGGGTGATAATGAGGTGCCAGCTTCCAGCTCGAGTTTGTTTGCGTGAGGATGGGCACATGGCGGCAATCATCCCCGACCTGATAGAGGGCTCGGCCATGCATCCTGTGCTGATCGGCAGCCATGGTTGGAGCGGATGGGGATCAACAGACCTGTTATGTGGCAGCGGTGACTTCCCCGTGCGCTGGATCTTCTTTTCAAGGGTCTGCTTCCCTGGAAGGGGAAAAAAAAAACCAGTGGCAGAGACCTTCTGGTGGCATCTTCAAGAAGTCCAAAACTCGAGATACACAATCATCGCGGTTCGATATAATGCTTGCCTGAAGAATCAGATAAGATTACTCTACCTACCTCATCCATCTTATGCGTCTTATGTAACCGGTCTTGATCACTAGCCTGCAATCAGCCGCATCCGCCAAGCAGCCAATCCCGCCAATCCCACCACCTTCACATCTCTCCCCTCTCCAACCGCTCCGTCTCTCCCTCTCTCACTGCCGCTCACTCCTCGTACAAAACGCCTCTCGAAGGTTACGCCATGTTGCACTCTCACCAGGCCTACCCTCAGCACCAGCACTTCCCACATCCCGACGGCGGCTGGTTGAATCAACAGCAGCAGCACCAGCAACATGTCAACGCCTACGGAATGACGCAGCCGCGGGCGCTGACGATACCCACCCACTCGTCCCCCGCACCAGCCCCTACCGGTGGCATGTTGAACGCTCCTCGCTCGACCATCACCGACGAAGACGCGAAGGTCTATACGTGGATCATGGAGTTGGTGCAGGGTGAGAGGCGGGAGACTGCGTTGCTGGAACTGAGCAAGAAGCGGGAACAAGTCGAAGACCTGGCTGTCATATTGTGGCATTCAGTTGGTGCGTGCTGCTTAGGCCCTTCTCTCCTCCGAAGAACGCGGTAGATATTAACCTTTAGACCCTCTACTCAGGTGTAATGACCTCCCTGCTCCAAGAAATCATCTCAGTTTACCCCCTGCTCATGCCCTCGAGCTTGACCGCCTCCGCATCTAACAGAGTATGCAATGCTCTTGCCCTCCTACAGTGTGTGGCGTCTCACAATGATACCCGAGGCTTGTTCCTAAACGGTACGCTACGCAAGCTCTTGGGAAAGAAGCTTGAATGTTAATCTTAACTCGTAGCTCATATTCCACTCTTTCTATATCCGTTCCTCAACACGACCTCCAAGTCCAGACCCTTCGAATACCTGCGGCTGACGTCGCTCGGTGTTATTGGAGCGCTCGTCAAGAATGACTCGTCTGATGTCATCAACTTCCTGTTGTCGACTGAGATAATTCCGTTGTGCTTGCGTATCATGGAGACGGGTTCTGAGCTGTCAAAGACGGTGGCGATCTTCATCGTGCAGAAGATCCTGCTGGATGACATGGGCCTGCAATACATCTGCCAGACGTACGAACGGTTCTATGCAGTCGGCACGGTGCTGAGCAACATGGTTTCTCAGCTGGTCGAGCAACAGACCGTACGGCTACTCAAGCACGTCGTACGGTGTTTCCTTCGGTATGTTGCTTTGATTTCATCCCATCTACCGTTGCGTGAGGTGTGTGAAGTGCTGACCACGAAATAGTCTGAGCGACAATCCTCGGGCCAGGGAGGCGCTGCGTCAATGTCTCCCGGAACCGCTGCGAGATGCAACCTTCTCGTCTGTTCTCCGCGACGACGCGGCCACGAAACGCTGCCTTGCGCAGCTCTTGATAAACCTATCGGACTGCGTTGCTGAATAGGTCATTCCGGCATTTTCATGATAAAGGTTACCGCATGGAAGGCGCTTTTATTTTTCGCACCCTTTTTCGTTTTCATCTATTTTTCAAGCCCACCTCCAACCCAAAGGTAAAATCTAGAGTCTCACGTCTTCACGTCTATACCGGTATATCTGTGTAATGAATTGTCACGACGATTTACATAATGCCCCTTCCATGCCCCCCTTCTTTTCTGCTATGTACTGCTTTTGTTTGGTTGCGGACGGCTGGGTATGTACTACTTACTACTCTCTTTGTTTCCTTCATTCGGGGTTTTCGGATAGTATTTGTCTTATTTTTTCTTGACGGACTTATCAATTACCACTATTACCATAACGTGTTTTTGTTCTTTTACTTGACTTTTTACTACCTACTACCTTATTGCTACTACTACGTCTTCTTGTATTCCATATGATATCGCTTTGCCGGGGAGGGGGTTCTGTATGTACGTGTTTCCCTTTTTTTTTCTTGTTCGTCTGTCTGTTGAAGGGGTTTTTGGGAGTTACTGCTTTTTTTTTTCCTTTCTCTTGTTTTACTTGATTGATACTTGATACTCTATCTACCCTACCTACTGCGGCGGTGGCGAGGGAATAAAGTTAAATTTAAATATCTATTGCGCTGTCCGGCGCGATACTGTGGTTCTTATGGGCGTTGGAGGGGAAGGTGTCATCTCACCCGCGTACTTGATGCCGGGGCCGAAGAATATTATATACATAGTTTCGAGGGGGAGCTTAAGTTGAATGGGGGAAAGACAAGAACAGGAGATGGCCGCGTGGCCCAATGGCAAGGCGCTTGACTACGATTGAAACAATTGGAATCAAGAGATTGCAGGTTCGATCCCTGCCGTGGTCAAAAGTTTTTTTTTTTTTTGGTTCTCACGGTGCCTTCGCCCTGTCCCGCCCTTGTTTTTTTTTGGCAAGTCCACTCATGATCACTTCCCGCTCGGTTTGGGTTGGAATATAGCTGTTTTGGCATCACTTAGAGTGGCTTTTTGTTCTTCTGCTTCTAGATGAAATCGCCAGGGTTATTATTATCTAGAGTGGGGGGGGGGCGGCAACCAACAGCAGTTTGGGTTGACTTCTTCAACATGGGGCACAGAAAGAAAAGAAGCGAGCGACTCACGGTTGGTCACTCGTCGTTCGTGCGCCATCAATTATACATAGTTCAAGTCCTTGCTTGCATTACAACACAACGCCTAACATGGGTTGTGGAGGCCAGCTCGGGCTGTGCCTGAGCCAGGAGGTAGGCCGGGTTGGGCTGAAGAGGAGGCTGGCCTCGGTGGCGTGATCGGGACGTGTAGGAAGTATGGATCTTCTATAATTCGATGGTTCCTAGTTTACTTCAACCCCGGGCTCGGCCAGATGAGCCAACGCTGGCCAGGCCACATTCACCCGGATCGGCCCGCCCCCCCTTGGCAGTTGCGGCCAGTGACTGTATGTCCAGAAACTGGACGGCCGGGCCCCATATCGTGCGTTTGTTGGGGGATAGCGCGACTGGATGTTGTTGGGAGGCCCTCTAACCCGTAGGAAACTTATAGATCATAGATTTAAGAGTAGAGCATCACCGCTTTGTTGAAGAACCACTGGCAGCAGCAGCACCACGATCAACGCCACGATCAACTCGGCCACCAGCTGGGCCCAACTGGCCAGAAAGCATCCCTTCACGTTCCAAAAACTAAAAAAAAAGATACAACCTTCATATGGCAGCTCCCAGAGTCTTCTCAGGCGAGTTTCACCTTTTCGAAGGCAAGCCCCCAGCTTACAAAGGCTTGCAAAAGGCAATGTCGCGACTTCATGCGCTCACCGTTTACAAGCCCCACTGGCCGGGCAAGAAAAAAAAATTCAAATGGCCATGCCTAATAAACCCCCCACGCCCCCCCAACACACAAAGGGGCAAAACAAAAAAAGAAACACTCATAAAGAGCATTCACCCACAGAGTGACCACGGCAGGGATCGAACCTGCAATCTCTTGATACCACTGAGGAGTCGTAGTCAAGCGCCTTGCCATTGGGCCACGCGGCCAATATGAATTGAGCATGAAGGTTTGCGAACTTGGTTCCCACTTGGAAGGGAGGTGGAGCAGAGCTTTATGGGAAACCTCAAGTGGGTGGATTTATGTTTGTAAAGTTCGGAGAGTAGTTTAAGCAGCAGCGGCAGGGAACTGCGGGATATACGTATATCATCAATCACGAGCTTATTGTTGCTCTAGTGGAGCCGATGTCAAGCGGCGGGTAGGGCTAAAGTTCAAGGATGGCCTTACAAACCGCCGGACCAGCGGCTCCTGACTACCTGTAGCAAGCATCGAGCCTCATAATTGTGGCAGATCGTAACGGAAAAACCTGCGGCAAGGCATAATTATCGGACTGAGGGGGCATGGCTGTTGCAAAGGACCGGTCAATTTCAGGATGCCGGGTACAAGCGTTGTAGGAGAGCGAGCTCCGGAGCGAACAGCACTGCAGGCTGGCTCTGGACTGCCAGGTATACATATCTTTTTCTATTTCTTGTGGCCCGTTTTATTTAACGGATGGCCACGGCAGGACTGCCTCTATGACGCATAATGCCCCAACCGCATTGCGTAGTATGTAGAGTGTTTCCCCTCCTAGCACCAAGTCCAAACGAGAGGGAACACCAACGGCGGGACCCTCAGGATATAAGACACGGGTTCAGTACCGTTCACTTCGAAGAGCTGTCAGTACTTTAGAGGAGTCGATGTTGTAGAGGGCAGAAGTTTAGAGGCGAATTTTCGGAGCCTAAAAGCGACATCTACCCGGATGACTGCTCGGAAAATGTGTATAATTCAGTATTTTAGCAGCTAACAAGTATCCATCCCCGGCGGAACCATAGCCACTAGGTATGTTCGTACGTAGGAACCTAACCTGTTGGTCACCGTCACTCCTACATGGAAACATATCACCAATGGATGCCGGTGTTTTGAAAGGCGGTGTTTGGACGCTCAGAGTCACCAGATTTTGCGGCAGAGTCCGTACTGCCAGTAAGATCCGTTGCCTTGTTTCCCTGACAAGATACTCCCTTCGACTCTGCGGCACGAGGGTAGAGGCGTTGCGGGGGCGGGGGGTTGGTGGAGATGTCGGGGAACCACCACCTCAGTTGTCACTCGATTGCTCTCCCCTGCTGTTTCTTGGAATTGTGCTGCTGCTTTGACGGTGTATCTTACATATAAGACAACGCTACTCAACCGATTCAGATAGTCTGCATACGATGCCGGCATTGCAGTTACTACAATCAATTGGGATCATGGTATCGCGGAGCCTGCTTATGAGGTCTTCCATTCCATGGCAGCTGTGGCGGCCGAAAGAGCAATGCAGTTCCTTTGATTTAGATCACTGATCTAGGTATCCTTGCTACGCCGTAACAGTACCAAGTTAGATATACTGCCGGGAGACTCGATGAATCCAGTAGTTATCGTTGCCCGAGGATAGAGAGGCTGAGCACAATAGAAATTCTTCAGATTGGTAAAACGAGCCGTTTCAATATCAACTGGCCGCGTGGCCCAATGGCAAGGCGCTTGACTACGATGTGTGTAATCAAGAGATTGCAGGTTCGATCCCTGCCGTGGTCATACGATCGTTGTATTTTGATTTTTTTTTTACTCCTCGCCGAGTCCTCGGAAGTCGCGGATTTTCCATCAATGTTCCAGGTTTTCATTTTCAACGTTGGCGTTTTCATGTAATTTCACTCACTTGAAATAGCGTTAGGGACACTCTTCACGTCGGTTGATCGTTACAAATCTCTGTATCTCAGCAACGGCTCATACTGCGCTAGATGGCTGCGTCTTTAAGGAACCGGCCACAACCCTCAATTTTGGAAATCGTCAAACCCGCTTTTCCCCCCGACACCAACCCTACCCTCCGCCACCTCTTTCCTTTGGCCATTTAGTCCTCCACCCTATTTAATGCGAAGCAGCCCACTCAAACACGCAAGGCAAGATGGCCGAGTTGGTCGCCCGTCTGTGGACACATGAGGTTCAAGGGTAGGCTTGTGTATATAGCCCGTATTTCATGGCCGCAAGCGGCCGAATACAGTATGATTAAAACAAAACAAAAATGGCCGAGTTGGCTATGGCGCCAGGTTGGGGTTCAACCTTAATGTCTAATCTCCTGGTTCGGGAAACTGAGCGTGGGTTCAAGTCCCACTCCTTTCATCATTCGTTTTGGCGTTTGGCGGAGATTTTTTTTTTTTTTTTTTTTTTTTTTTGCTGGCACCGGAAGGCGGGTAGGGCTCGATAAATAACGTTGAACAGTCGTAAAAGATCGTCAGTGAGAGGTCGTGATGATCCGTGAAATCGGCGAAGGACGATTGTGACCTCATGGCGGCGCCCACATCCTCGCCCACTACCGCCGCCCACAAAGAATACTAAACTTAAGGAGGGGTTCATAGAATGCCCATGAGAGCTCTTTTGTTTCTACTTCACCTGTTTGGGATGGAAAGGACAATTCTTACGGCTGTTGCACACCCCAGCGGATTCTGTGCCTTCACAGCAATGCTTCTCTGCGCACAGCTTATTCAGGATGCAAAGCGCAATCCTTTGGATCCTGCTGTAGCTAGATTCGGCCATTAGCTGGACGTCCGTCGACCGGCTCAAACTCATGCATAGCGGGTGCTGGACCGCAAGACTCGAGAGCCTGAGGCGCGCTCATGGTTCTGTTTCGGCGAAAACGCATTGGTAGAGTTGGAGGATGAACTTCTGTTATGAGTTGTGGTCATCAATTATTTTTTATCCGTCATCATGATCTGTCGCTAGCGCAACCCTATCAGTGACGCCGTCATGATGGCGTGATCCCCTAGCAGACGAGAGTGATAGTGGCGGGCTAGTGACGTTGATTTTTTTTCAGGTGTGGCTTGGTCGGGGATGGAGGATTTGGGTCTTTTGTTGGAGGATGGTGAGGAAATATGATGGGGAGACGAGGGACAGGATGTGGTGTTGTTCATGAGATGTCACTCGCAGAAGACTAGCAAGTCGGCGCTTTTGGCTCCTAAACTGAGAGTTGGGGCGGTTGGAATTACGAGTCTGAAATCACCGCGTCTGCAAAGTAGGCGATCGAAAGAAGAATATCTCATTATTTTCTCATGATCGGATACGCTTAGGCGTTGGAGGAAAGGATGTCGGAGTCACCCTGGTCAAGAATGGCCATGGTGGAGCAGCGGAAGAGCTTACCGCAGGCGGTACCGAGCTCAATCTGTCCTCCCAATCGAATCAGCAAAACGGTTCCCTCCGAAGCACAAGTAAATGCTTCTTCTCAGGGATGGAGACCCTTTCACGAATTTCTTCGCAATATACAGGTCTCCACAGAGTCGAGGCGCAGCGGGATTCTTACGTTGTTACCAGCGAAGTGGTGGACGTTGCACTTGGCGAGCATGGAGTAGTACTCGAGCTCCGACTTCCGGAGAGGGGGAGTATTGCCTGCGCATATATCGTTAGATTTTCGTGCTTCAAACGGGTTTCCGGCGGCATTGGACATACCGGCAATGATGACAAGCTTGGCCTTGCCGGAACGGAGGGTCTTCAGCGTCGACTTGTATCCGAGGACGTACTTTCCAGACTTCATCACAAGCGCCAAGCGCGAGTTGATGGAGTCGGAACCAGTCTTCTTGGTCTTCTTGGTGGGGGCCATCTCTGCACTTCCTGGGTTGTTTTGCTGAAGAGGTTTTTTTAGGAAGTACTCCGGTATCGTCGATTGTCGGTTGTTGAAGGGTTGAAGTTGGTCGCTGCGTCGTGAGTTACTTTTTCGCTTCGGGTTTGTGCGTGTTGTGCTCGCGCGGCGGCTGCTTTGCCCTAAAAACCCCAGTCCCACACACACAAACCCCACGCTAGAGGCAATTCCACCATATCGAAAGTCCAAACAGCCGCATTCAGAACCTCGACAAACCCCCTCGCCGACCGATAAAACACGCCGCCCGACCTCACCGACCCAGTTCACCAAACCAGATCCATCAAAATGGCTGACGCTGACTACGTGAGTCGAAATTTTCCCATGCGATATGAAGTTCGGGGAACTTGTGGCTAACAAGCTGTCTCTAGGACCCCGTTGCTGCTGAGGGTACGTCCGGCTGAAATCGTCTCTCGTTCTTCAATGGGGATAACCTAACCCACTAGAACAGAGAAGAAGAAGGCCAGAACTTTCCGCAAGTTCTCCTACCGTGGCGTCGATCTCGACCAGTACGTCGCCTTTATTTTTCGCGATTGGCCGCTTCGGTCACGTGTATTTCTTTCGCCGAAGCGCGAAGCTAACGCGCGGTGAAATACAGGCTCCTTGACCTCTCCTCTGAGGAGCTCCGCGACCTCGTCCACGCTCGTGCCCGCAGAAGGTTCAACCGCGGTCTCAAGCGCAAGCCTATGGGCCTGATCAAGAAGCTCCGCAAGGCTAAGAAGGAGGCCAAGCCCAACGAGAAGCCCGACCTCGTGAAGACCCACCTCCGTGACATGATCATCGTCCCCGAGATGATCGGTTCCGTCATCGGTATCTACTCTGGAAAGGAGTTCAACCAGGTTGAGATCAAGCCCGAGATGGTTGGTCACTACTTGGCCGAGTTCTCCATCTCCTAGTAAGCGGCCCCTAATTGTGCCTGCCTTCGTAACAGCGCTGACGGAGGTCGTTTTATAGCAAGCCGGTCAAGCACGGTCGTCCCGGTATCGGAGCTACCCACTCTTCTCGTTTCATTCCCCTCAAATAAACGGATCAGCTCGGTTTGGGAAAATGGGTCATGATTTCGAATAAAAATTAACTGGGTTTGCGGACAAACAAAAGTAACGGTTATTCTGCCTATGTGAACATGAGTGATAGAAAATGTGATCCCGATGTGTTGTTGACACCAAAAAGGCCAGGGCAAGATGTCTGTTTAAATGCGATTTACTGGTGGCGTTCCTCTGATCAATAATCTGCCATTAGCATCGGTTTCTCCGGTGTATCTGCACACGAAATGATCAGATAAGTATCGATTGAAACACTGTGGCAAGCAATGAGGTTCGGGCGTCACGGCAATGCTTCAAATGGTGGTTATGCGATAACTACATTTTACGGCGCAGCGTCTCGGACCCGTGCATTATTTTTGTCACAGAGCGCTGGTCCGTTAATTATTCGTGTCACAAAAAGGACCTCACTGCTCAGTACAGTAATTCTATGACTACCGTTGACCGCTCATTCACACTATGTCACTCGATTCTATTACACAGACTAGATATCAAGTCATGGCGATTGGGCGCATCTAGTAGAGACGCTTGGGGGGAGACATGGACGCCTTCTATTCGGGGGTTAGCAATCTGCACAACAATCTCACCACACGAGTATACGTACGATAGTCAAGGAGCCAACGTTCTGCCATCCCTTCTTGAGCAGAGACACCAAGTAGTTGATGGACAACATGATGTTTCCGATGAGCTGGTCCTCAGTCATGCCAACGTTTCCGACGGCAACACCGAGACACAGGACCTTCTTGAGCTGGAACTTGATGGTGCTCTTGACGTCGTTGACCTTGGCGGCAAGGTCCTCAGCGTGGGAGACCGGGGTGGGGAACTTTCCAGCCTTGGAAAGACCGGGACCGAGCAGACGGGGGATCTGCTTGATCAGCTGCTCAGAGGCAATGAAAGCATCGTACTTGCGAGCGAGCTTCTTGATCAGCTTCTTGTTCTTGTTGAGCTTCTTCAAGTCGTCGACGCTCATGAACTCGAAGCCGTGGTGCTTGGCACGGTCGATGTCGTGCTGGTCACCGAGAATGCTATCGCCAACGTGTCAGATCGAGGCCCATTTGTATGTGAGTGGTAGAAGGTAGCTACCAAACGCTCATGTTCGGGCGAGGAACAACGGGCAGCTTGACGGTTCCGGAGAAACGCTTGTCACGCATAGGGTCGTAGTTCTTAAGACCAATCTGAAGCTCAACGGTCTCGAGGAAGTTCCTCTTCTTCTCCTCAAGGGAGTAGTGGAGGAGCTCCTTGACGTTTCCACGCACTCCGGCTGTAGCAATCCATTATCGTCAGCGAGAAAAGTTCGTGGTTTTCGTCGAATTCGCGGGCGCACGGCGTGTAAAACGTACCGACTGTGATCTTTGACATCTTGAATCAGTCTTCCAAGCGAAATCTCGTTTGGTGAGGAATATGTGCGGGTTGTTGGTTGTCACGGTAAACTTCTGAAGCTGGATTTGACAAACCTGGGATTTGTGCGCTGGCCGTGGTGGAGTCTTGGCGCTCCCTGTGACTGCCGCGGCTGGGCCCTGAGCACTCGACATTTGTAAAATTCATGGAACGGCTGTCTTTATGGCAAAGACAGAGGCCAAGAGGTTTCCAATTATTGGTAGCCCCAATTATTCATGACTTTTATTTTCCCAGGCTTCGACCCAGCCGCGATGGTGTAGGAGCGCGTAAAACGCGACTAATTGCGCTGAGCTCCCAGCCGATCCCCATCCATCCAAGACAGATGTCAGTTCTCCTGAAGATGTGCACCACACACCACCACAACATCCACCCAGTTGTACCTTTCGGGCCCCGTCCAAAATGACCAGCGACAAAGCCACTCCCCTAAAATCCGTGCTCGTCATCGGTGGCTGCGGTTTCCTGGGCCACCACGTCGTCAAGATCCTACGTGAGCAGCACGCAGAAACCATCATCTCGGTGCTAGATCTACGCACGAACGTAAACCGGTTTCCAGGGATCAACTACTACGATGGCGATATCACGTCGCGTGCTTCGGTCGACTTTGTGCTCGCGAAGGAGAAACCCGAGACCGTCATTGATACTGTCTCCCCCGTCCACGGACTTGGAAAGGAGGTCTACTTCAAGGTCAACGTCGAGGGTACCCGCATCTGTCTCGAGGCCTCGCGGGACGCCGGCGTGAAAGCTTTCGTGTGGACCAGCTCTGCCTCCGTCCTCTTCGACGGTGAGAGCGATGTCATAAACCTCAACGAGACGGCACCGATTCCCACCAAGGCGCTGGATCCGTACACGGAGACGAAAGCAATCGGGGAGGAGATGGTTCTCAAAGCCAATCGCGCAGGCGGCATGTTGACCTGCGCATTGCGACTATCTGGGCTCTTCGGTGAGGGCGACCGACAGACGCTACCAGGCATGCTACAAGTGCTAAAGAATGGCCAAACCAAGTTCCAGATAGGCGACAACACGAATCTCTTCGACTTCACCTACATCGGCAACAG